AAAAAAAAAAAATGTCCATAATAATGCTTCCCTCAGTGAAAAAGTTGTTTTCTCACATCAAAATCCACTGACATATTTGTTTAGGACTGTTTTCACTTGTTAAACGGTGCTTGATCTGTTCATATTTCTCACTGATTCAGGAAGTATTATGGACTTATTATGGTATTTCAGCCGGAAGCAACAGTTTAAAGTTTTGGATTTGTTTATTACAAACATGCCGCTTTTTGCTTCACAAGATGTTAATTAATGGACTAAAGCCATGTGGATCTTTTGAAATGTAATCAATTGAAAATATAACAATTAATTTGCAACAAAACATTACATATTTTGTCAAATAAGGTGATGCACAACAGAACTTGTATACTGTAAAAAATAAATATATATATATATATATATATATATATATATATCTTATTATAGTGCTTAAAATGGTAAAAATAATAATATTATTAATAATTAAAATTATTTTTGTTGCTTGAGTGAAACTGCACTGCTTATTCACACAAAGAAATGCCGAACATAAAGATATAAAAAACAATAAAGTGTATTGAATTGAATTGAATGTGCATGCATATTTTAGCAATGCGCGGCCAATAGTCTAGAAGTAGGCTACTCAAAAGTATGTTATAGATATGGATTTATTTTCTCTGATAAGTATATTATATAATAATGATATTTTCTCTGATAAATATCAATTCAAATGGTCAAGCAGCAAACTGGTTTGGGTTCTGTCCCATGTAGATGAACTACCGTTCGGATGTAACTGTGATGCAGATCTCAGATCAGATTTTACAATGATCAAGTTTCTCAATGGCCCAGTGTTGATTACCATTTTATAATGAATGGCTGTCGTTAGATGAAATACTCAACGTGTCAAAAATCACTTTTTACATGCTGCAGGCCAGGAGAGGTGGGGAAAAGAAAACACATCTGCCACATAGCAGGCTGTGAAAAGACCTTTCGAAAGACTTCGCTGCTGCGGGCGCATGTCCGACTGCACACGGGAGAGAGACCCTTTGTGTGCAGCTGGGTCTTCTGCGGAAAACGATTCACACGCAGTGACGAGCTGCAACGACATGCCAGGACACACACGGGTATGCAAGCTTCAAATACATTCATGCACTAAACACAAGTGTGATGCATCAGTGTTTAAATTCTCCCCCTTTTTTGTCCATTTTCAGGAGACAAACGCTTTGAGTGCAATAAGTGTCAGAAACGTTTCATGCGGAGTGACCACCTCACAAAGCATTACAAAACACACATCAACACAAAGAGCCTGTGAACGTCGTCTTTCACAGGGCTTTAAGAACTTTGATGAGGGGGATAAGAAAGAAAAATGCTGTTCCCAGGGCTTGTGAGATGGGAGGAAACAGAGGTCAACCCGCCTTCACATGTATGACATGGCCCTGGAAGATCACCTGTTTTGACCAGCCGTTTCAGGGTAAACTACACTCCCGCTGACCACTTTTTTTTACTCGCCCTCATCAACAGAGAAACGCTGGCTGGCCGTAAAGTGTGGCCCTCAACTGGGATTCATGAAGAACATGGATGCCAGTTGTGTTTTGGCTGATTCCTCTGTAATACGGAGCAGAAAAGACGTCTGTCTTGGCACCAACAGACACTCGCTACTTTCCCCCCTGCACTTAAATTTGTTCACATGTTTTTGGTGTGTTTTAGCTAAACCAAGCCCCTCACATGAAGTGTAGCAGCTAATGGACAGTGTTTCTGGCTTTTATTGTGTAAATGTTTGTTTTCATACATACAAACATACATTTGTACATACTATGGCAAATTTTAATACAAAAGTGACGCTTTGGACAAACTAATTATATTCAGTTGATAAATGAATTTTTTTTTTAGTCTGCTTTGGAATTTTAAACAGAAGCTTGAAACTTTGTATAACTTTGGTTGGTTGTTTTTAATATTAGTGGAGGTTTGGAAAAGAAATATTTTGGCTTTTACATACTTGTCCATGTTAGACAATCATGTCTTATATAGAGGAGATAAACAGGAGGGTAAATATCTTGGGACTTGCTACACGTTGAAAGGTTGATCATCATAATAAGGAATAATTTATTTATTTTTAAAAAAAGCTGAAATGGCATTGAATGTATGCAGGTTGTGTCTTTATTAAAAGATTGCAAATGTGTCCGTTCAAAAAAATGTAGATAAAGAAGAACTCGTGTTTATGTTCTCATGTAAAGCAGGATGAAATGTCTCACAAAACAGGACGCAATGTGATAAAAATGTGATTGTTGTTACATTATACCAATTGAAATGTTTTATTTCATTTAAGGTACTTGCAAGTCCATGCTGATGGATTTAATGGTTAGCTAAATTCAGTCATTCCATTTAAGTTCATCCAAGTTTTTGTCCAAGCTCTCTAAAAGAGGCCTTAAGAAGAAAAAGAATCTGTGCTTATGTATGTTTGTATAGTGTCTGAGTTCACGCTGTTGTATTTGGGTGTAAAATGTAGGATAATTGTTACACAAACGTGTATTGGCTAATGTTGCCAAACATGAAAGATGTGGACTGTACAGTGTAAATGAGAAGGAAAAAACAATGTTGTATAGTTTCATTCCTATAATATCTAAGACTAATAGATTACCCTTTTTATTGACTAAAAGTTGCCTTAGTCTGCAGCACCCCATATTTAAAGAAATTTGTCTCTTTCCAGGGAACTGCATTTGTAGACCTGCTTTATTATATTTTTTTCTTTTATTATTTTTTGTCTAACTTATAAAGTGTGAAGAAATGCCAATTTATGTGCACTGACCAAATTCAGGGTTTTCACTGAGTGGATAATTATTTTTTTTGGGTTCATGTACCTACATCTGATTTGACAGAATAAAAAGTTCTTTATCTATCCTTGATAAACTCCACATTTAAAGAGCCCTGGCTTTGAAAATCGGTAGGTAACCCTGTGTTTGTATAACTTGTATTGAGGAGCTTAGACCAGAGAACTTGCTATCTTTTTCTACAATCAGACCACCGCTCCCACTCACCCAATAAAGCATAACACAAAACACTTGAGTGTTTCTCTGTTTTTCAATGAAATCAGTGCTTTCACTTACTTTCATTCACTTACTCTCATGTTCAAACCCATGCATGACTTTCTGTCATGACTACATAGTACATACTTACATCAGGAACAGAGCCCACGGGACATTTTAGACTTAAGACATAATTTTACAGTATACAAGTTCTGTTGTACATCAACTTATTTGACATCGTACCCCTCTAAAATTTTTGATGTAACGTTTTAAAACCCTGCTAAATTTGTCAGCAATAGACTGGTACATTTGACAAGCACAGACTAAGTCTTAATTATTAACCATTTTGCACAATACATTTACATTTAGTCATTCAGCAGGCACTTTTATCCAAAGAGACTTACAAATACATATACACAATATACAATACAAATCTGTAATTAATTATTTGTTGCTATAACTTATTTTGGGATAAAGCAAAAGGAAGTACATGGAAGTTGTATAATATAAAACAGAATATTGGAGTATTTCTTTATCAGAAAAAAATATACTTAAATTTAATGTTAAATTAAGAGCATTACTTAGCTTTTTGTAATTATTTGTAAATGTACTAGCAATTTCTGACTAACAATTAAAAAAAAATTTCAGTGTATACTGAAAAAATACTGTGTCATGGATATGAATATATTTCAATTAAACGATTTCAGTTACATTGATGAAGTTTCTTTATTCTAGAAATTCTTTTTCTCATAAATGGTTGTCCCTTATTTCTTGCTCAAGGTGGCAACCCTACTTTAGGCCTCAGCAAACGTCCAAGGGGGCCTACTGAAGATGACTTAAAGGGGTCATATGATGCTGCTAAAAAGAACATTATTTTGTGTATTTGGTGTAATGAAATGTGTTTATGCGGTTTAAGGTTCAAAAAAGACATTATTTTCCACATACTGTACATTATTGTTTCTCCTCTATGCCCCGCCTTTCTGAAACGCGTCGATTTTTACAAAGCTTATCGGTCTGAAAAAGCGAGGTGTGCTCTGATTGGCCAGCTATCCAGTGCGTTGTGATTGGCCGAATACCTCAAGCGTGTGACGGAAATGTTACGCCCCTTACCATATTGTGATGATGCCATGTCCGGCCGGAGCGATGATTCAAAACCAGTAAAACCCATTATAAACGAGGCATTCGTTGCATCCAGTGGGGACATAATTAAAAATAAGACAAAATAAGCTAAAACAACTAAAAATCAAGATAGATATATGTATCTTATATATTCTTTCTTTCATTTTTTGGCATTATTTTAGCTTGAAGTGTTTTACTAACACTACACTTTTTTTTTTTTTGGCATTTCCTTGTTTGTGCTCGACAATCTTTACGCACTTTACAGCTCCAGCTTCCATTTACATTCGTTATATGTATAAAAAAAAACAGCTTGTATATTCTGTCTAACATCTACTTTCTTTTGGGTATGTATGAGGATAAGTAAATTATATGAAGATAATAAATAATTTTTTTGGTGTGCGTTAAGATGCTGACCTTTATTTTGAAGGGGAGTTACACTACTATACAGCCTTTTGAAGCGCCCTCGCAGTGTTTGGCTTCACGCTCCGCGCTGACTTGAAAGATGCCTGGAGAATAACAACATTGAACGTCTAAATCACAGGTAAGAAGCAGAAATCGCGATATTTTACACTATAAACGTTAGCAAAAACTTCCTACAAAGTATAAGGTTGCAAAATTATCTAGCGACTAAGAGAGTTAAACGAACTGACGTTTGCACAGAATAATTAAAAGATATTCTGACTGACGTGACTTTGGCTGTGTCTTAAAACCTGGGGAACTGCCTGCCTGAGCAACACCTATGTTGCCCAAAAGTGCTGTATAGTTAGGCTGCTCACTAGGCACACACCCATTATTCGTTTGACCTTTTTTCCTTCCTCCCAGGACCGTATTTCATCCCTCAGGGGTCTTCAGAAGACCATGGGGGGGAACACAGATGTGTTTGGAGCAGCTGAGTTCATATCAGAGCTCTGTCACACTAATGTGGACAGTCCTTTTCCTGTGTGGCAGAGTGGCACCATCAGTCCTTGTGTCAACCAGCTTCTGCTGGGATCACTGTCACATGCTGTTATCGCAATCACTAGTGCCTGTTACATTAGTGTGCCCAGGTGAGTCTTAAAGAAACACTCCACTATTTTTGAAAATAGAAAATAGCTCATTTTCCAACTCCCCTAGAGTTAAACAGTTGAGTTTTACCGTTTTTGAATCCATTCAGCCGATCTCCGGGTCTGGCGGTAGCACTTTTAGCTGTAGCTTAGCATAGATCATTGAATCGGATTAGACCGTTAGCATCTGGCTCAAAAATGACCAAAGAGTTTCTATATTTTTCCTATTTAAAACTTGACTCTTCTGTAGTTACATCGTGTACTAAGACCGACGGAAAATGAAAAGTTGGGATTTTCTAGGCCGATATGGCTAGGAACTATACTCTCATTCCGGCGTAATAATCAAGGAACTTTGCTGCCATACCATGGGTGCAGCAGGCGCAATGATATTACATATATATGTAAATGTTGTTCTTTTGAACATTCCATTCATCAAAGCATTTTAACAACTGTTTTTAACATTGATAATAATAAGAAATGAATCCTGAGCAGCAAATCAGCATATTAGAATGATTTCTGAAGGATCATGTGACACTAAAGACTGGAGTAATGATGCTGAAAAATTCAGTGTTGCATCTCCCAAATAAATTGTATTTTAAAATATATTACAATAGAAAACAGTTGTATCAAAATTGTAATAATAATTCATAATTTACTGTTTTACTGTATTTTTGATCAAATAAATGTAACCTTGGTGAGCATTTTTTATTTATTTTTTTAATATATCTATATCTACCTCAAACTTTTGAATGGTATGTGTTAAAAACTATTGGTAGGTATGGTCACATTGACTATTGTTCAGTGATTTTTCATGGGTGATATAGTAGTTATTTCAGTGGAAATCCACACAATTGGAAATTTCATAAGACGGCGAAAGATTTCCCCACACAGATTTTTTACGGGTTCAAATTGGTTACACTGATTCACTGTGATGATGACCAACAGAAAGCTGATTGTTTTGAAAGTGAGCTGTGCTTCATGCATCACTACATTATTGACAATAAACAATTGACCGTTTTGAATTCATGATCCAGTCAATGGTTAGAAACTAGTGCTGTCAAACGATTAATCACAATTAAAAACATCCAAAATAAAAGTTTTTGTTTACATAATATATGTGTGTGTACTGTGTATATTTATTATGTATATATAAATACACACACATGCATGTATATATTTAAGAAAAATATGTTACGTTTATATATTAAATATATTTATATATGATATAAATTATATGAATATAAATATATACATGTAAATATTTTCAAAATATATGCTGTGTGTGTATTTAAATATACATAATAAATATGCACAACACACACACATATATTATGTAAACAAAAACATTTATTTTATCACGATTAATCGTTTGATAGCACGATTAGAAATACATCAGATTATTGATTTTTAAATGGGTTGCATATCATGTTGACTTTCGTTATGTTCATGATGCCAAAACACATTTTCAGATGATCTTTTTTAATAATCCTTGTTTTGTTACCCACAGACTTACCCATATTGCATCCGCCCTTCCCATTGGCTGGGGCTTCAGGGCCGCGTCGACCTTGCTGATGGCTCTCATGTTTATTGGAGACTTGGTCCTGGTTTTTGAGCTCCAGGCCCCAGGCATCTATCTGGACGTCTTAGCTGATGGATGTGGCATACTGGCCTGGTTGGTTCATTTTGGGGCCGTTTTGGCGTTACAAAGGTCCATGTACAGAAGAACTCGAGGTCCTGCTTTGCTTCCTGTGCTGCTTATTCTCTCCATCCCTAATCTAGCTTTTATCCTCACCGCTTGCGTTCAAGAAATCAATCACCTTGGAGTCTCACAGCCACCGCAGGTTGTCCGTCTAGCTCTGACGGTAACCAGGGCTGCTCTGGTGCTGGTTTACATTTTAGGTTATATCTTTCCCTGTTACAGAACTCAAAGAGACCTTCTGTCCTGTAATGCAGAAGATGCAGCTCCATTAATTGTCACCTTTGAGCCCGATGGAGGGGTGACTGTAGCCGAGGATGGATGCAGCTGGCTGTCCAGACTCCTCTACCTGTGGCTGAACCCTTTGCTCAGACGAGGTAAACGTGGAGAGCTGGAGAAACCATGTGACGTCTTCCAGCTGCCATATCGGCTACGTACCAAAGCAGTTACTCTCCGGTTCTACCAGTGCTGGCAGAAGTGCCTCCATCCGAGAGGTCTGGAGAGACCTGAGAGACAGGATCGGCTTCCGAGAGGAAACCTGCAGGACAACAATTGGAGCGAGGCCGAGCCAGAGAGGATGTGTGAAGGTGGAGCACAATGTGATGTCAAGCTCCTGCAGGTATTGCATAAGGCCTTTGGTCTGCGCTACTACCTTCTAGGCGTGTTGAAGTTAGTAGCAAGCATGCTGGCCTTTGCAGGACCCCTGCTTCTCGGTGGATTAGTGGGTTTCATGGAGACAGAGGGGGCACCACTGAGCAAGGGTGTGTGGTGTGCCGTGGGGCTGTTTGCTAGTACCTTTCTTGCTGCCGGGCTGAGGAACGTCTTTGTTTATGAAGTATCAAAGGTTGCGCTGGAGGCTCGGGCTGCTGTGATTTCCACCATCTACAGCAAAGCGCTAAAAGTCAGTGCGTCCGTTCTGGCTCGCTTCAACATGGGCGAGGTGGTCAACTTCATGAGCACCGACACGGACCGGGTGGTGAATTTCTTTAACAGCTTCCATGAGGTTTGGAGTCTTCCCTTCCAGTTTGTCCTCGCACTTTACCTGCTTTACCTACAGGTGGGCGTGGCCTTTTTGGGCGGCGTGGCCGTGGCCGTGCTGCTCGTG